CAAGTAATAGCAAGACCTTACCTTGCCCACAAGGGCTGCGTGGGCTGCTCTTGGCCAATTCCCAGCTGCCCTCATCTTCACCACCCAGAGATGTTCTTGCTGTCATGAAATCTGGTCACGTTCCTACCTCAGTGCCTTTGCTTACGCTGTAGCTTTAGGGGTCTCGGTCTCCTTGAGGTGCCTGGTCCCTCTCTCACTTGTCCAGGGCTCTTCACTTGCGCAAAGCCCCCTGTCCACCCCCACCACCCTCACCCATTTCCTCATCTTAGAGTGCTCCTGGCAGCTGCCTGTCATCCTTTTAGTCTCCCTGCGGGGTAGGGAGACTTACTCTAGACAAACCTCCCTGAAGATGTAATTATGTGTCAAATTAGTGGTTCAGGATTATTTTAATAGTAACAGAGCAAAGTTACCATGTTTCTGTAACCAATATTGACAGACACACAGGAAGGAAGCTGAATAATGAGACTAAGGAAAACACAAGCGATAATGCAAACTCATAGCACTGTCACAGGCAGGAATACACAGAGAGGAGATGACAATCCACACCCAGAGCAGACAGCGCTGGCACTCCGCTGCTCCCGGAGACCCCCAAGTTCCAGTTGCTCCACACTTGTAAAGAATCACCTCTCCCTTCTGAAGGGGGGAACCAGAAAGTCATATGTCAGGAGGTGCTCCCCGCTGGGAGAGGTTTGTGACTGGCTTTGCACCCCACACCTCTCTTTCCCTGATTATTTTTTGTGACATCTTTTTTCTTCTTCTTCATTAAAATTTGTTAATAGTGCTCAAAATTCTGTGACAGAGTTTTGGTCAAGTTGTTTCTATTAAAACGTATTGATTTTTAAAAAAACGAGTAACAAAATGACAGGGCACACACACACACACACACACACAGTCACAAAACCACCTCCCTCCTGGAGATTTTACAATGCATTATTTCACTAACCAGTTTCTAACAATTCAACTTAAATCGGACTGTTGAGACACACCATTCTTCCACCACCAAAAAAGACAGGGATGTCAGTGTTGGGGATAATGCCCATTTCGCCTTCTGGCCGCTGGACAGACTGAGTGACCTTGCCAGCTAAGCTGCCTTCTTGGCCCCTGGCTTGCTGATACCCAGGACAACTACCTGCCTCAGGTCACAAACAGCTAAATGGCCCCAAGGAGGAGATTTCAGAGAAGCCCTCAATCCACCCGGGCTGGCCAGAGCAGCATCACCAGACACTAAGAGTTTGGGGCCATCACCCAGATTTTTTTTGCAGAATGTTGGTCCATCTTTCCTTCAGTCCAGCAAACTTGCAAGCTATGATATTTGGTTGACATTCCTGCCCAGATACACAAGCAACAAAGAATGAACAGGATGTCGCCTGAGCCAGCTGCTTCCATTAGTGGAACATTTTGCTGTCACCAGTCACATTGCCATCTTTGACAGTCAGCTCTGACAGCACGTCCTTGACATTGAAGTCCACATTGTCCCCAGGATAATCCTCACTGAAAGCTTCATGGTATGTTCCAGCAACTGTGAACTGGAGCAAAGAAGACAGTTCACCTGGAGTCTGAGAACACCCATTTCGACTCAGTCCGCTGGACAGCCGCAGTCCCACTGATTTTGTAGATGTCCTGGAAGGGAAGATGAAAGGGCTTGGCACCTGGGTGCAAGGTGGCGAAGTCCCACCGGTATCATCATCTTTATGGGTGCCATTCCATCCCTGGAAGCAAGGTATGTGAGCACTTGGCTCCAATATGTTGTCAGAATCCAACCAGAAGCTGGCATAAGCGCTATTGCACTGAGGTTGTAGCCAGTTTTCTTAATTGGTCCCCTATCTGGCTGCAAACACCAACATTAGTGGTTTACACCCATAACAGAAAGTGGGCCAATTCTTATACCAGCTTCAAACTCACCAATGCAGCAACATTCATCAGGACAGCGCAGCCAAACTGAGGTGTGCCTATGAGCTTGTTTGACAAAATCTCTGTGCTCTGGGACATCAGTGATGTTCACACAACACTTACTGGTTTCAAATCCCCACAGGGAGGCATTAGTGGTGATACTATGCTCATGTTTAAGCTGGCCCAAGACCCAGACATACTTTATAAAGTCTTTTCCCATCTCAACAGCCTCCTCAAATGTTTTGATGGCTCTTTGGACATTACATCACATTTTTTTTAAAGATTTATTTATTTATGCATACAGAACTGGGGTACAGCCCAGAGGTGCAGAGGCAGTGAGAGGGTTCACCAGAAACAGAGTGAGGAGCAGAACAGGCAGACTGACAAAGTAGACTGCGGAGGGGAGCAGAAGGCGGGTCAGGAGAGGTCTGCTGTGCCATTTGGGTCACCTCTGGGACAGGGACTGAACTCACATGGGAGTGGCCACAGGTTGTCTTAACTTCTCAGTGCAGTGCTCCAACCCGCTGCACCGCTAGGGAGGGCCCTTACATCACATTTGTAAGTGATCAGGGATGGAGATTTCCCTGAATCCACCTGTCCAGTGGACAGTTTATCGACTCTTTCCCCAATTTGGAAATTGGGATGTAATGGTGGCTTTCCTAATACTTGCATACTGGAACTCTAGGTCTGTTTTTGAGTCTGTATTCTGTTCTACTGTGTGATTTTTCTATTCTTCTACCACTACTATTCAGATGTTATTATAACTTTAAGATCAATCTTCATGCATGATAAATGGGAATAAATAAATGGAAAGTATAGTGCTAGAAATGAAGTGCTTAGCAATTACAGGTTGGACACATCCTGTTGCTAATTTACCATAGTCCAGGGGGCACTTCACATCTTTATTCACTAAAAAACCTGTATCCTGAGGTTTCTGACAGCACTTCAAGAGTCAACCTACTTCTTAAGATGGAATACGTTTAGCCAAGCTCGAGAACCAGGTCTGTGTATTCATCAACATACACACTTATTGAGCTAGCAAGTATTAACTGAGCCCTGTGGCATGCCCAGTCCTGGGATAGAATGAGCACAGATCACTGGACTTCGTTCTGTGCCATTAGAAAGTGCACATTTTAGTAAAGACATTTGGCATACAAATATCTAACATCCCCAGTGGGTGTGCAGAGAGGACATAAAGGAAAGTAAAAGAAAATAAGAAGACAGATGGGCTCTTTCTGTACATTCTGAGTCTGTATCATGTGAGGGCTAGGCAGATATTCAGATGGACAGAACAGCAAGTGCAAAGGCCCTGAGGTAGATACCAACTTAGAATGTTCTTGGAATAGTGACACTTATCTTCAAATGGCAGAATGTCATTGGGGGAAAATAAGATCCTTTCTCTTCATGCAATCCTTTATATAGAAAGTCATCTAATATTCAGAAGTGAGCTGGTGGGCTGGGTTCTGAACTGGTGTGTAGTGACCTGGATTTAGCGTTCAGGCCATTAGGTGGAATTAGTCTGAAGCTTCTACCAGGTATACTTCTGAGTCATACCTTATTGGGTATGTTTTGGCTAAGGCCAGAATGGGCACTGACAACTTTGTTTTTAAACTGGGATTCAGATAAACTGTGTTAGTGGCTCCACCAATTATTAACTGGGTAATACAGGCAAGTCCCCTCACTCTTATGTCTTTATAAGACTTAGCCACACAGGCAGAAACTGAATACAGGGTTTTTGATGTCTCTTATCTTTCCCAACTGCCTCTTTGGTCAGGGCAAACCCAACACACAACAAGTTGGTGGGTGGTAAAGTAACTACAGATGAGAACTAGCAGCCAAAATTAAGTCCCTGTCTTCACTAATAAGAATGTTGCCATTTACAGTCTGAATTCTGACTCTTATGTCTCAACACTAGGCATCAATTCAAATCTGGGTGACTCCTTCTCCTTCTGCTCTGACATTCTACCAAAGATGGTCTTGCCAGGCTGGAGGCTCAGGGTCAATGCCATGGGCTTTTTCTATTCGAGATTCTGAAATTCCAGCTGGCCAGGGCCGGCCCCATCTCAGAAGCTCATCACACACTATTTATAGGACACAAGAGGACACTTCCTCAAAGAGGACAACCTGATGGAGAATTCCAGGAATCATCTAATAAACTGGGTTATGATTTATTTGAACACATCAACAGTGAAGCTGTACTTAAAAATACCCCAGGCTATTTTAATTTACTCTCATGTACCCCCATTTTATTTCTGAGCATTTAATGCAGCTCTCAAGTCGGCAAATGACATTTTACAAAACCATAGTAATTCTTTCCTCCTCTCCTGTCAAAGCTTTCTTCACGCATTATATCATATTCTCAGCTCAGGATCAGGATAGCCCCAAGAATTGGCAGGGCTGGCTTCCCCGTCTCCATTTTAATGACTGGAACTTTGACGTGGTGACTGCCACCCTGTCTGCTGTCTGCGGGGGCTTTCACAGACGTTACTTCACTGGATTCCATCCCCCTACCCCGGGAAACCAGGAGAGGTCAGTCCGGGACACCTCCCACCAGACCAGTCTGTCCGGTTCAGGCTGAGATAAGTCGGGGCCAGGGTTAGGGGCACAGCAAGACCCCTGGCCAAATCCTACGGAAGCCCTCTTCGCACGACCCCTAACATCTTCTAACATCCCCAGTGGGTGGGAGGTCCACCCTCCCGACCACCCACAGCGCCCCCAACAGGCACTTCAAGCCAGCTCTTCAATGGGCGCGTCAGGGTGACCCCTGGTCAAGAGCTGATCCGATTGTGCGGCGACTAGGCGCCGGGCCCAGCGCGTTGCGGGAAAGGAGGATCTGGGGGTTCTTCTTGCCCAGGCCCCTTTGGGCCGAGCGGGGTACCGTGGGTGGCACTGGACCGGGGCTGCAAGCGAGCCAGCGGCCATCACAACCCCACGGGAGAAGACTCCAGGCAACACCTAGCAGCAACTGAACTAGCAGCTTCCCACAAGCCCCGCCCCTTCCGCTGGCCCGGGCCTCCAAGGCCCCGCCCCTTCCGCCGGCCCCGGGCCCCGGCTCTTCCGCTAGTCCCGCCCCTCCCGGCGCACGTGCAGTGGGGAGACCCGCTTAGGTCCTGGCGGCGGGTCCTCTGGTTGGGTCCACTCGTGTGTAGTTTCCGTCGCGTCCCCGCCCCCTCCGCCATGGGGGTCCCCAAAAGGAAGGCTCGGGGCGGCCAGGACGCAGGGGCTTCCCATGGGGGCGCAGCCAAGCGGGCCCGCAATGAAGAGCTCACTGGCGTCAGCTTCAAGGCTCAGCTGAGGGACCCGCAGGGCGCGGAGCGGGGTGAGTGCGGGGTGGGCCGGGGCGGGAGGACGGGCGTGCCAGGCGGCACCCGGGCCTGGCTGGATCCCCATCCGTGTGCCACACACTGCCCACCTTTCTGCGGTTTAAGTTCGCTAGCAGGCGATCGGGCTTCCGGGGTCCCCGGGGGGGTGGGGGGGGCGGGGCGCTCCGCGACCTCGCGTAGTCCACTGACGCTGAACTGCCCGTCAGAGGCCCCCGGCTTGCTTAGTCGTGAAGGCTCCCGGCCCGGCCTCTGCACTTTCTCCTTACCGGGCAGCATCCCTCAGCAGGCTCTGCAACCTCTTCCTTGCAGTTGTCAGAAAGTACGTGCGAATGTCTTGCTTTTTCACACGACCGAAGCCCTTGGCGTCCTGACAGGCTCAGCTTGGGGCTGTTCGGGGGTGGGGGTGGGGGCTGCCCGCTGCAGTTTTCAGTAGCTCTGACCCTCTAGCATCCACAGAGGTGACAGCTAACAGCTTGGAGGCATGGTCTTTTCTGTAGTTCAGGACTGAGCTAGAGGCCAATGGGGAGCAGATTTGGCAACTTAATTTCACATTTTGGAAGTAGCCACCACCCTTCACAGCAGCCCGTCTGTAATCCTTTACAAAGTATGTAGGTTATGAGGAAAAAGTACAATTGAATGTCAAAATAGAGCGGTGACCGTGTTTTTCCTCAGGTTAAAGTTAATAGCCAGAAGAGTTTCCTTTTCCTGTTTTTCCCCCACACACAGATTTTGTTTGTAACCTTTTGATACCTATAACCGTTAGCCAGTGCTAGGAAGATAAAATCTTCTTTAGCACAGAATCACACATTTAATTCATTCGTTATTACTAGGGACTGTTATTTGCTAGGGTAGAGCTAAAACATGAGTAAAGATCAGTCCCAGGCCCCACCATTGTGGAACTTTAAAAACAGTTAGTGGGTGGGGGAAGCAGAAGATCAGATGGGAAGAGTTCCTTCCACCCATCCTCCATTTACTAGTTGTGTGATGCCTGCAGGGGCCTGATGGGCCTCAGGCTTAAAAATTTATACCCACATTTCAGGGTTTTGCCCAGACAGCCCCATGACACCTATGTGCTGTGCCATAGGAAACCTGGGCTCTTGGGCAGTGGGTGCAGGGAAGTGGTTTGAAGTTGTGACAGCCAGAGTCAGGGTGAAGGCGATCCCCTCTGGGACGTGGGGCTCTGCGTTTGAGTCAGGGCCCCATCTTGAATTCTCTGTCCCTTTTGATAAGTTCCCCTAACCTCCTGTTAGGACCCCCCTAACAGGGAAGATCAGGGAGAGGAATTGATGGGTGGAGGTGGGCTGTTTTCATCTAGCCAGGAGGGAAAGTTGTTTTGCTTTTTTCTTTTCTAGCTTTATGGAGATGTTACTGACATGTTACACATGTAAGGTTAAGGTGTCTTACCTGGTGGCTTGAGATACCTGTATATGTTAGGTTATGTAAGGTTAATTAATATCTAGTCCCTCGCATAATTCTTTTGTTGTTGCTGTTGTGATAGCATAATAACCAGCAGTATGCAATACATTACTGGTGATTGTAATCATCGTGCTGTACGGAGGAGGTTCCCTGAACTTCACTCATCTTAGAGCCAGAAATTTGTTCTCTTTGACCATCATCTCAGTATCCCTTACGCCCAAACAGCCATCATTCTGCTCTAAGGATCAGCTTCTTTAGAGTCCACAAATAATGAAAACATACAGTATTTGTCATTTTTAGTCTCACTTATTTCACTTAATGCCCTAAAGGTGCATCTTGTCTCCAAGGCACGGTTTTCTTTCTGGCGAAGTAACGGCTCACTTCTGTGTGCGTTCCTTTCTCTTTCTCCATTCTTCCTCTGATCTCTTACTGCATTTCACACAGTAGGGTAGTTGCTGCAGTTGGTGCACGTGCGGCACTGCAGGGTTAGATTGGTGAAGACCCAGGGTGTTCGGAGGGCCACTGCCAGCACCGGGGGGGCCCCGATAAGGAAGAGCTCCGCGCCAGACCAGCGGCTTTGCGAGTTGCTGCCCACGACTTCAGTGGAGATAGAGAAAAGGCTTTACGGCAACTCTTGAGCCCCTCAGCCTGGTATCGCTGACTGCCTTCCCCATCTCAGTAGGTGGTCATTCCAGCCACCCAGATGTCATCGGAATCCTCTGCCAAAAATCTCCCCCGTCCACTCCCTGGCTGTGTTGCTTCTGCTCCCCCCACGTCCTCCGTCATTCCAGTTTAGTCATCTCCTGAAACTCCAGGCTGTAGCTCCTAACAGCGGCTGCCACCTCGCCTCTCCTGGTGCTCTTGAGCAGTGCCCTGCGGCCTTCATGGAGCCCTGCCAGCTTCTCTGATGGCATCTTAGGCCACCCTGTCCACTCACTTATTTGTCCCCCCACTGTGCCTGGCCACATTTCGCTTCCTAACCTCTGGGCCTTGCGTATCCTTGACCCAGAACACCTTCTCCCTCCTTGTCTCACCGACTCATTTTTAACCATTATCACGGTCAGCGTTACTTCCTTAGGAAGTCTCCCCAACTAAACCGTGTTCCCCCGTCGCTCCCTTCATTAAGCCTTATGACTTCTGCTTTGTAGCATTTACTCAGTTGGTAATTCTCTAGTGAAGTGATCGTGGAGGGTGCTTAGGAAATATTGAAGCTAATGCCGGTCTCCTCAGAGAGACTGGAGCAGGGAGTCAGTCGCGGCCCTTTCCCGCCTGCTTTCCCCAGCCCTCGTTGTGAGCAGGTAGCAGGTGCTCGTGCAGTGGGGTGCCGGTGCCGGTCCTCACCTTCTGCCACCCTGGACTGCAGGAGCAAGTTGTGACACTTTGGTAAATGCTCCCTTCACGCCTCCTGTCCCTCCAGTCACAGCCCTATCTCATGCTGTGTGTTCTTGGGGCGGGGAGGGAGTGGGGTGATTCTAGGAGTGGCCTTGAGAGTGGAGCTCAAGTGACCCGCACTCATCACTGTCAGAGCACCCACTGCCCTTTTCCCAGCTCTGCTTATTCTGCCCTCTTTGTGCCAATTGTGTGTGTGTGTTTTTACTGTCTCTCTATGAGCCTGTGGAGGCTGCCACAACAGAAGCCCACGAACGTAGTCATGTAATTTTCTCAGCTCTGGAAACCTGCCGTAGTCAAAGATCAGGGTGCAGCTGCTGTAGGTTTCTGGTGAGGACTCTTTAGCCTCCTTCCTGCTGGCCTCACAGGGTTCGTGGGGAGAGAGCTCTTGTGTTTCTTCCTCTTTCACAGATACTAAACCTAGAAGATCTGATCTAACTTTATTTGCCTCCTTAGAGACCCTATCTCCAAATATCAACACATAGGGGCTTGGGGCTTCCGTGTCAGATTCCATGAGAGCACAGTTATGCCCATAACATCCCTAGTGGCTTCTGTGGCCAGGTGGGTGGGGAAGGAAGGGAAGCCCGGGCAGCAGGCAAAGCAGGTCCGGTAGCTGCCGTGGTCCCTTCAGGAGAGCCCGTCTCTGCTAACACTTGAACGCGACTCTTATTTCAGCCTTGGAAGCATTTGTCTCCGCTGCCAAGATGCTTCCACGAGAAGACATGTACGACGTGGTGGAAGGGTACATCAAGATTTCTGTTGAGTGTGCAGAGATTTTCCAGCTCCTGAGTGGGGAGAAGCGACCTGAAAGTGAAGTATGTTATCCCTTACCTGAAAGTGAAGTATGTTATCCCTTACCTGAAAGTGAAGTATGTTATCCCTTACCTGGCCTGCTAAAGAGAAGCAGCAGTTAAGCTACTGTTGTTGAAAGCTTGGTGAGAAGAAATGCGACACAGAGTTCCCAAACGTCGCCAGCTTCCCACAGAAAGCCAAGCTTTGTGCCTGAGCTGTAGGAGTGCTTTCGTATTTGCCTCATGACCTTTTAAGGCATTTGCACAGAAAGCACTAAGTAGACATCTTCTTACCAGGAGGAAGGCCATCAATTCTTAACTTAAATGCACTTGGCTTTGACTCAGCTTGTTTTAACAAGCATGGTAAAAACTGCATGTCCCAGGTACCGGCACAAGTTGGCTGTTGTTTTCTGGTTCCACATTTGGAATGTTTATGAGCCCGTTGAGATCACAAGCTACTGCTGTGAGACTGTCAGCCTGACAACTGCTAAAGCGGTGAAGTTCAAGCACAAATCGAACTTCCTCATGTAACTGTCAGCAGCCTGCTCTCTCTTTAGCTAGACTGTGGAGCAAGACTGTCCAGAGCCTGGACCTGGCAGTTCAGCCTGGTAGCTGACACCTTCCGCCCTTCCACTCAGGCTCTCTCAGGCCGCATCCCGCCGGTGGAAGGGTTTACTCTTGCGGGTGGCCGTGCTAAGACAAGGAACACGGATGTGGAGGAGGGGAAGAAATGAGGCCATTCATAAGCAATTCATTTTTGGTTTTGCAGAGGTTATTAATATTTCAAGTTTTCGAGGCCATATTACTGCGGACAGCAAGCGATCTTTCCCATTTTCACGTTGTGGGAACCAACATTGTGAAAAAGCTCCTGAACAGCCACATGAAGCTCATCTGTGAGTCCTTGTATGCCGCTGGCTACAGGTAAGCTCCCCGCTTTTGCTTGGCGGATCTGGCCCTGGGCTCGCCCTGTGTGCTGCCCTCCACCTCCATTTACCTTTCCTTCTCACGAAGGAGAGCTGCTCATTTTTTGGAGGCTAGGCTGTGGCTCAGCACCCCCTTCCTCTCTTGAGTGGCCCCTCACTTTTGCCGACTCCTAGCAAGTATCCCTCTCACTCCTGCCCAGTGGCTACCTTGGGAATGTTCCACGCTCTCCATGTAGCCGGCGCTACCCAGGTCATCAGGGGCTCGCCCCCTCTGCCTTAGGATTTTGCAGAAGTGTCGTCTCAAGGAGGCCTTCGACCATCCTATGTCCACTGTCATTTTCAGTCTTTCAGCGGGTGTAAGAAATTATCTATTTTTCCATGTGTTTTGAAAGCTGTGCCTGTGAGGTGGCATTGAGTCCTGTCTTATGAAAAGCCTTTTTCCCAGCGCCTCAGTCCCGCCTGGCAGGTAGTCTGCTTGGTAGAGCAGGGTCTGAGTAGCTGCAGAATGGAAGGGCAGCCATGCGCTCGCTTTTGGGGAATCCCACCAGGAAGACGTCTTCCCTGGCACCCTGAGGAGGCAGGCATGAGCTGTGACTCTCCGGGTCCCGTGACGAGTTATTGGAAGGAGATATTTCTCTCTTCTTTGTGTCTTGGTTTTGTCTTCTTGGGCCCTCCTCAGACTCGGTATGTGTTAGTCCACGTCTCTGCCTCTCTCCTTTGACTGGCCTGGAGACAGTAGACCGCAGCCACGTGTGCCGCTGGCTCTGTGCCTCTGCTGCCCCCAGCAGCCTGACCCCTCCTCCCGCGCAGGATGGCCCGAGCCTGCCTGAATCTGATGGCTGCCATGGTGACCCAGGGTGCTGAGGCTGCCAGGGACGTCTCCAGCCATTTTGATTTGAATAAAAAGACCTTGTACACGTTGGCGACCAAGAGGGACCCAAAGGTGAGTAGCCCTGGTTGTCTTGCTCTTCTGTGTGCTTCCCCCGCTTGGAGGCACACCATGGTTTGGTTTCCTCCGCTCTCTGGCCTGATCTGCATTAGATGGAGTAGAAAGCCTTGATGTGGAGAAATGTGTCTTGGCAGCCACTGGTGCCCGCGAGGAAGGCCTGTCACCTGACAGATGATGGGGCCGCATTGCCTGGCTGACCTAATAACCCCAACACTTGAGGAGAATGCTGTTGGGTCTCAGCCTAACGGGCTTTCCTGTGAGGAGACTTAGTCTTCATGTACCTCTCGGAGAGTTTTGGCCCTCAGGTTCACAGTGTCCACTTTGGGGAAAACCCTGGTGAGTCTAAGCCAGTGATATTACCAAAAAGGCTTCTGTGGCTTTTGAACATGGGATTGTGCCTCCCAGTTATAACCTCTGAGTAAGGGCTGGAATGTGCCAAAGAGAATGGGCGTCTGAATGGTTGGTTGGTAAAAAATAAAATCCTGTAGGAGTTGCACTTGGATTTAGAAGGTTCTTGAAGAGAAAGCACAGCTTGAGGACTCATACACAGCAGCGAGGGCACCCCAAGGCACGTGCCAGCTACAGGTGGTTAAAGCCCCTCCTTTTTCCTCTCTTCACCATCTCCTGATGGCGTCCCGGTATTGTGAACAGCCTTGGCCCAGTTGTTCCCAGCCCCTTCCTGAGCCTAGAGAATAGCGCCTAGAATAATTGACTTCTGGCCTCATGTGTGGCCACATTTCTCAGGCTCCCCTGGGGAGGAAGAGTGTCTACATTGTCAGGTAGTAGAGTGACGTTTCAGTCACGGTAGCCTCAGCTTCATAGCACAGTGAGGCTAGCCCAGTGTTGAGGGTTTTCCTTGACTTACAAATAAAGTTCTCTGAGGAAAAAAATCCAGGCCTTAGTGTCTCATAGGTGCCATGCTTTACTTAAGTATCACAGCTTCTGCAGGTGAGTCCTGACTCCTGAGACCCTGGACTGTGGCCTGGCAGTCTGCTCGGACAAGCCTGCAGGGGGCGCTGGTGCGCCCCGGAGAAGTGGGAGTTCTAAAATGCTAAAATGCATGTGCTGTTTGCACACTGGTGCAGATGTCCCGGCATCAGCCTCTGGGTACTGATCAGCTTCCCTTCCCTTCCCACCTGGACCTCAGACTGGCTGTTGAGAAAACAGGTAGTAAGCAGACCCCCAGCAAGCACACAACAGGGGAGCCCGCTGGGGGTGGGGCTTCCCTCCAGGGCCCCGGCTTCCCCGGGCTGGGGGATCATCTGCGTCACTCACCTGGCTCTGGACCAGGCTGTCGTCAGGGTGACTTTCCTTTCTCTTGTGTAAATCTTTCACATCTGGTATCTCTCGTGCTTTGAATGTTGTACAAAATGGTTTCTAGACATTAGGAACAGGTTTTTAAATGTAGGAAAAGTTGGGAATAGCACTACGCCCGCCAAGTCCTGTCACCCACTTGCGCCTCTGCCACCTCCTGCCGGTTCAGTCTGGTCGGCGTGTAGGCTGGGGTGGGCCTGCGCACTGCATGCACCTGATGGGAGTGGCCTAAGGGTGGCACCGGCGCGGCCACCGCACCGCTGATCATCTCGCTGCCACCTGACACCCAGCTGGCCCCGGTTTCCGGGATGTCTCAAAAGCATCTGCATTTGCGGCCCAAATCAGGATCCAAAAGGACCACAGTTTGTTTGGGTGATAGGTTTCTTAAACATCTCTTCTCATCTCTGAGTTGTCTGTGCTCCTCCCCTCCCTGAACCCTTTTTCTCTTGCCAATACTTGAAAAGGCTAGTAGGTATTTTGTTCAGTTAGTGTGTGTGTGCGTGTGTGTTTTAAGATTTATTTATTTATACATACCAGAACTGGGGTACAGGCCAGAGGTGCAGGGTGAGAGGATTTACCAGAAAAAGAGTGGGGAGCAGAACAGGTAGATAGGCTGAAATACACTGCTGAGGGGAGCAGTGGGGAGACAGGTCTGCTGCACCCTGTGGGTCACTTCCTGGCTGGGGATCGAACTCATGCTGCAGTAGCTGCAGAGAGCTTCACAGTGCTGTGCCTTAACCCCTTGTGCCACCAGGGAGGCCCTCCAGTTAGTTTGTTTAATACATGAAAGGCACTATTAGCATGAAGAGAGGATTATGGGTATGTTCAGCCTACCAAAGGAAGCACCGTTAAAAACCTGCGCAAATAGCAGTCTTACCAAATATGTTTTGGTCTATTTTAGGCCATGTTTTGCAGAACAAGGCATAGAGAGTCTGGGACATTTCCTTCTGGAATAATAGCCCTGGGAAGTCACAGGATAGGAATGAAGAGTAGGCGTGTCCTGGTGTTGCAGGGCAGAAGTCCAGGGGCCAGCGCAGGGCTCTCTGTGGGCAGGTGGGTAGGCGGGAGGCGAGAATGAGATCTCGGGGATCTCATTCTTTCCCAGTGTCAGGAATCTGGAACATACAGGGTGGGTGTCAGAAGGTGAGAGCTAAGTTTTGTTTTAGTTCAGAATTCGTTGTTGACGTAACCCTGGAACGGTTCTAATACCAGCTCTGCTGTGTATAAGCAGGACAAAAAGATCTAGATTAGCAGATAAATGGGACCAGCGTTCCAGGGCCCTGATTTCCAATACTACTTAGTCAGTGTGTGCCCCCCCCTTCCCCATCCCCATCTTGTGGAACCTTTCCAGTTAACTGGGAAAGGGTAAAGCCTACTTTAACTTACCAGATGAGCTTTAGCATTTTCTGGCATTCTTTGGACACACAGGCCTGTGTAAGCCAGGATTATAAATCTTCTGTGCTTGAGGCATCAAGTAGCCTGGGAGCAGCAGCTACTCGAAGCTTCTGAGGAGAGGGACAGTCTCTTAGTCATTTTGTGCCCTGTTGAGCCTAGAATGTAATTGATATGTGCCCAACACTGACTTGGGGGACGAGGCAGTGGTGATTCTAAGGAAATATGGCTCATTTTCGAGACTTTAGTGACCACTGAATCCAAACATGTATCCATGTTTTGAGGATACATGAGGACAGGTTAGTCCTCGGAAAGGAGAAGGAGTTCTGGGGCTCTCAGCTCAACTTCAGTGTGTTAGGCTAAACCAGCACTGGTCTAATGAGGACTTGCTGACCGGAAATAATGAGCTGTGAGCTGAATACGTGGATGCAAAGGCTGTGGGAGGCCCCATCCAGCTGTCATGAGCCTAGGTGGGGTTTCCCTTTTTCTCGGGGAGACGTTTGTACCCAGCTGTACCCAGAGGCAGATCTAATTCAATACTTAACCTGGAGGCCTAAGGGTGCTGGGCGAGTGCTTGCCCCGAGAGAAAGCTCCGTCGTCTTGGTGCTTTCGAGCACAGAGCTGTGTGGGTGCAGTGGCTTCTTACCAGCCCGGCTCTGGCACTCGAGCAACCCGCCTTGAACAGGTTTGTTAGGGCCCTGGTGTCCTCATCTACAGCATGGGGGCGGGCGCCCCCTGCCTTGCTTGTTAGGAAGGGTGGGAGGGCAGAGCTGTGCAGCGTGAGGCTGCAGCTGTCAGGCAGCGTTTTTAATAGTGGCGACATCACCAGGGTCACCACCACCTCCAGGGCTACGAGTGGAATGGAACTCTGGTGGGTGGAGCCTCCTTAATCTTTTCAGGCCTCGGGGCAGTAGTTCTCCATATACAAACTTTATTGGCACCAACGGAGAAGACCTTTGGCATAACGGAATTGGGGAAAAGATTGCCAGTCGTGAAGGACCACATGCGCGTGCTGGCTCTGGTCCAGCTGAGAGACTGACACAACCACATACAACGGGGTGATGTGATGTGGGGGTCTCACTGCTGCAGGGACAGAGAGCTGACCGGGTGGCCCTGGCGAATTCCCCAGCGTGCTGGCTGCTGGTCATAGCGTGGACCCCCTCGGAGGGTGCCTGCTGCCCTGGGTCCCAGTCGACACCGGTAGCTTGCAGTGCCGGGAAGGCCACCCTGAGTCTGCCATGTGACAGCACTGTGCTTTGGTGTCGGGGACGACTTAATGATTTCCTTGTAACCTCCAATGAAGGCCAGACGTCACTTCATCTGGTGTCTCTTCTAGGGCAGCAGCCGTCTCCGTTCTGCTGCTGTGTCATCTCATTTGCAAGCGAGAGCAGGTGGTCTCGAGACCAGCGAGGCTCTTCTCTGTACAGAGTGGCCTGTAAACTTAGACTGTCTACCTGTGGGGAGGGACACAGCCAAGCTCCACCTTTACTTTTGTGTTTAGTGTAGAGCTTGAAAAGAGGAAAAAATAGGATGGACGATCGAGGGGGAGCATGAAGGAAAAGCCCTTGCTCTCTGTGGGCGGGTGCCCGTGTGATGGGCCTGAGCGCTCTGACCACCATTGGACAGACAGAAGGGGCAGGCTGCCGCCTCTTGCTTCCTGGGGCGCTGTGGGTGTCTCATGTAGTGTCCACACGTGACATGTGTCTCCTTTCCCCCCAGGGCGTACAGGACGTCCGCCTGGCCTACATTCAGTTTGCCCTTTCCTTTTTGGTTGCTGGTGACGACAGCACCATCGTGCAAGTGCTGGAGTTGAAAGGTAGGTAGGTGTGCCCCGCTGCACTGGAGGCCTGGCTGTCATTGTTTCTGCAGATTCTGCAGCTCCCCTTGTCCAGCTCAGTAGCCTGTAGCCTTTGCAGTGGCCGTGGGTGCTGAGTGAAGGCTGAACAGTGGTGATGGGCGGCCAGAGTGGTTTTGTGTCACTGGTACCTGGAACAATGGGGTCCCTGCTCAGGCTCTGGAATGCTGAGGCTCGTCCTGACAAAGACACAGGACCCACCCCAGGGTCTCGCAGACAAAGGAGGCCTTGTGACTCTGGGACGTACTAGATTTGTAGCCTTGGCCACCTGGCCTTCCTTAGTAACTGTATTGGAAAATAAACTATGTGTTCTATGACCTGCCGGCTGTTTCCAGAACAGCAGGAGGAGAGCTTTGAAGAATCCGGCTTGACCCCCTTCTGGGACTGTCCCCCTAGAGCAACGCCGGGCCCTTGTTTGATCTAGTAGGATCACTTGTGTTTTATCCAGAGGTTCACCAAGAGGCTAACTGGCAGGGCCTCCACCCGCACAGGGCCCGGCAGCTTCCTACGACCCCTCCTCCCCGCCCCCATCATGCTGTGCTCGGAGCTGGCCATGCCCCGCAGCTGCTGGACAGAGGGGAAACTTGTGCTGTGCTCGGGCAGGGGCCCGAGCTCTCTCCACCCAGGATGTGCCTGCTGGGTGCAGAGGATGGGCCGGGGCGGGGGAGGCCTGGTCTGTGCGAGGGCGGTGGGTGTGCCCCAGCACTGTGAAGGGGGTGCTTGCCTCGTGTGGGCGGCAGGTGGGCTCTCCTGCTTGTTGCCAAGTCCTGTGTAGGTGTCCTGCACTGCCAGTTTCTTCAGCAGTCCCCGGGCCGCCTCAGGAGCCTGGGCCCGAATTCCAGGACAGTGACTGGGGGCTCTTCACACCCGCCTGCGGCTTCAGAAGGCTGGGAGGCAGTCTGGCCCGATGCAGACAGAGTGCTTGGTCCAGCCATTCTTTGGCTGGTCTTTTATTTGAAAGAAATTATTAAGGGTGTGAGGAAAGGTTTTGTTAGTCAGAGAAGCTGAAAACGAGACTCTTCCTAAGTACCCACCAGCAGGGAATTGGTGAGCAAATTGAGAAAAAGTCACAGGGTGGAATTGGCCAAAAGTGACGTGGAAGCACGGCATAAAGCTTTCAGTGGTGTGTGAGTGGGTGTAAGTTTAGTTATCAGACTAAAGTGTGGTCCCACTTTCCCCCCAAATTAAATGCGACAGCGAGGACCCATCAGAAGGCTGGTAGTGACGCGGTGAGCCAGGGGTGAGCTGTGAGTCTTAAATTTTATTCTCCAGGCTGGTCTGTTGTTTTTTGGTTTGCTTTAAGAATACTGAATTTGCTTTTGTAGAAATTCCACGTGCCATTAACTCTGTGGAGAGCGGGCGACTTTCTCAGTGCTCGGTGCTGGGGCCAACGTGGCCTCCAGCTGTGGTGGTCGCTCCCCGGAGCCCAGCGTAGGCAGAGAAAGAAAATGCAAACTCACAGATCCCCCCACGCCCACCCCAGCCGTAAAACGAGGACCATCACCTCAGATGTCCTCTGGCAGGGCTGAGAGAAGAGCAAGCCCACCCTACCACACCTCCCTCGACGTCAGCACTAAGCTGACTACACTTAGTGCGTGAGAGGGAAAGACAACGAAGAAACTCATAAACCCCCTGAAGAGCTGCTCGGTCTGCTCTCAGGTGGTCAACGTCCACGTCGGGGCAGTGGCCATGCCCGTTGTGAGCTTACATAAGTAAATCACGTCAGGCTTTAAACACTGAAGAGAGTACATGGCATTGCTCGCGGTACCATTTAAGGAGTGGTGGTCTCCGTCTGTTTTCTGATTCAAGGTGCTTTTGAGTCTCATGTTTTGAACCTTTGATTTCCAGAATTTATCCCTTGCATCTTCAGCTCAGGCGTGAAAGAAGATAGGATCTCCACTGTCAACATGCTGCTGTCCACCCTGAAAGCCAAGGTGCGTGTCGGGTGATCAGTGTCTCTGGCGTGGTCACTCTAGTTCTCTGCAGGACCTGGAGCTGTGAGGGTCAGCAGTGTGGTGCTTCTGAGGGTGGAACGGCAACCGTTTCCCGAGCAAAAAGGTGGCGGGGCCGGTGAGCTGCTGGCCTGGGAGGTGCAGAGACCAGCGGGCCACTGTTCCACTCAGACGTTTACCCACAACAGGGAAGAGCTGTCGGTCCATCGCACGGGACTCACCGGACAGTGCACTCACATACCCAGCAACTGTTGTGTGATGTTGCATATTTTGCCTTCGGGAAGCCTCTTAAAGCAGCTTAAAACTTGCCGATAGAAGCTTAAAACTTGCCGATAGGACCACTGTCTTTAATACAGAAGCACTTCCGTGAACAATTAGAAAAACTCTGTGATCTTCCGAGCATGGAAGTTGTCAAAAGGACATGAACTGGTGCCGCACAAGGCTGGCGACCAGCGCCCCTGTACAGGCTTCCTGGGTCACAACTACGTGCTGTGGGCAGTGCCGAGTAGCCGCACGTGCATGTCCTGTGGGCAGCTTCTCACTTTCAGCAGTGTGTTCAGCCGGGGCGACAGGCTCAGCGTGGGTCACTGGCCGGAGGCTGCAGATGTGCTCGGTCGTCAGGCCAGGAGGCGCAGGGACCCTGTGGGCAGGGCATGGGCGGCTGTCTGCTGCAGCTGTCAGTAGCGCTGAGCTTGAGAAATCCTCACCTAAAGCAACTCAGATAACGAGGTACAGGGTTTTGTCACCTACCGAGTGAGAACTGACTGTTTAAAACAGTGATTTCCACACTCTAGGATCGGCTGTTCCTGGGCTTGTCGGCTGCTCTGGAAGAGGCAGGGCTGGCGGGGTGCCTCCAAGGTCTTCACCACGTTGTTTGACCTAGGAGTGGGGGCGGGTTGCTTCAGAAGAGACTTGAGGTACAGATACCCAGACTGCCTCCCCAGGGATTCTGGGGGGAGCCGAGAACTCTCCCCAAGTCCCCAGTCAGAGACACAGTGAAGGCCTCGTACAGGGACGCTCATGAGTCCGTGAGGGAAGGTGCGTGCTGCATAGACAGAAGCAGGGTTAAAACGGCTTAGTCCACGGATATAACCTCAGAGACACTCGTACAGATGCCCGATTGCCGGTGTACCTGGGGGCGGGAGGACTGAAAGATCATGCCGAAATGTTAACTGGGTCACCCGTGCTGGCGGGGATGTGGGTGAATTTCATTCTCCTCTGTTTTGCCAACATTGCTGCCATGAGCCTGCGTTCTTTTTATCATAACAAAATAAGGAAACCGTTATACTGAAAATAAGAATTGATTTCATTTGTCTTCCTGTTTTCAGGTAGTTCACAATAAACACATCACGAAAACCCAGAAAGTGCGATTCTTTACCGGGCAGCTGCTGAACCACATAGCCTCCCTGTACAGGTGGAATGGGATCGTCGACGTGAGCCTGGACGAGGTCAAGGTAGGCCACATCTGGCTTCAGGTGCCCCTCTGGGGCGGGAGCCTTGGGGTGGGAGCCAAGGAGTCTGAGCAGAGACGGCTCAGAAACCGCCTCTGTCTGATCTGCTTCTTTGGCTTGTGGTTATAGTAATTCTACACTTAATACCGTATAGTCTTTTTTTTTTTTAAAGATTTATTTATTCATACAGAACTGGGGTACAGGCCAGAGATGTGGAGGGTGAGAGAGTTCACCAGAGACAGAGTGGGTAGCAGTACAGGCAGATCGACGAAGTACACTGCTGAGGGGAGCAGTGGGCCGGTCAGGAGAGGTCTGCCTTGCCATGTGGATCTCCTCCGGGGCAGGCGGGGATCGAACTCATGCGGAAGTGGCTTTAGCTTCTCAGTGCAGTGCTTCAACCCGCTGCGCCACCAGGGAGGGGCCTGTATAGTTTTTTTTAAGATAAGATTTTTTCCCCCTAATCACTGAGGTATCATGACCTTAACCTTTTTTTTTTCTAATGTGAAAACTACTCTCCCTGAAGCTGGGGAGAGCTTCGCTCCCTCTGGCGCTCGCCTTGCAGGTTACCAGGCCCTGCCCCTCCTCTCCTCTCACTTGCCTTTCGCCTTCCATGCACCTTCTGGTATCCAGCCTTTAGCATTCCGAGGCTGCTTGTTTTGCTTCAGCACCTTGAGCGTGGGGCTCACAAGTCCCTCCCCTCCAATGTGCATCCTGGTCACGGCTGCCTGAGCTGCGGCCCTCAGGAACCGGCCACCCCGCTCCTCCGCATTTCACTTTCCGAACATGCACATGGCTGGAGCCGTGGGGCTCGGACTTCCTGTGAACTCCTGACTCACCTCCAGAACCTGCTGTGTGGCTGCCTTTTATCTTCGAGACTTGCCTGTTTTGAACATGTCCTCTCTGCTCTATTACCTGGAAGCCTCGGGGGCTTAATAAAAACACTCCCAAACATGGAATTTTATTCAGAAGAGCAAGAGAAATTAAGTCATTCTTAAGCTTGTTTAAAAATATAGGTTTAAACTTGCCCATCTTAAACGTATTTTACTTTTAATCTTGCTTGGTGTTTTCTGTATTTTTTTCTCAAATGATGCCAAGTGTTTAATGGTTTCTAAGTTTTCATTCGGCCCTTGATGTCCAATTTTACTCCATAGCTGTTCCTAAGTTTTATACAAGAACTTAGAATGCTGATCGAATTGTTTAAAACCTTCCTAGGCTTCTGCTGAAGATGCCGGCAAGACCATGGTGAGGGAGCTTGTCCACACTTTCCTAACGGACTTGTGCTGTTCGCTCAAGCATGGGATTAATTTTTATGACGCGTCTTTGGGCACCTTCGGCAGGTAAAGTGTCAGCAGATCCCAGCGCCTGTGATGGCCAGAGGCTCCTGTGGGGTTTGGGGTTGTGGTGGGCTACAACTTAAATTTTAGACACTGTCTGACCCCTTGGGGTGAGCAGTTAGGGCCAGAGAGCATCCCTCCTCCTCTGCCCTCAGGGCAGGGCTTTAACCCTCAGAGCACTGGGCTTAAACCCCGGGAAGGAAGAGACTCCTCACTGGGGCGCGGAGCCAGTGTCCACCCAGGGAGCTTCTGCTGTGCCTGAGAGCAGGCCTCTGCCCCTCCTGGAGAGAGGGTCCAACGTGGGCCTGCCACAGCTCTGGGTGGGCACCATTGTTACTTGAGCTTTCCACACAAGGGAAGTGGGCACAGAAAGGTCAGGTCTTCAGTGGTGAGGAGCAGAGCGGATCTGAACCCAAGAACTCTGGTTCCAAGCCCTTGTTCTTAACAGTGGAGCCACCCTTTCATTGCTTAGAGGTGGGCTGCTGACAAGCTAGGAGTTCACAGTTCTCTTTCACGGCCGCTAACAGTTTCGGTCATACTCTTGCAGGCTCTTTGCTTTGCGGTTGTATAGCTCTACCTCATACCAGTGTTTCCATTGTTTAAGGAGAAAATGGCCTCTTTAGATGTTTGTCATCCCATTGCTACCCTCCCTTGACAGTAAAAACAGTGGGTGTCTTCTCTGGTCATTGTAAGAGACCTTGGTGTTTTTTGCCCTTTGGGCATTTTATTATAGGGATAGAGTAGTTGGTTCGATTTAGTTTGAACCAGCTAAAAGACATGGCTGAATCTTTCAGAATGGGATAGCGCTGTGGGAATTTTTCTGTCTGCATGTGACTTTGGATTTTTTTGATTCTGAGGTGATTATGACTTACCATAACATTCCTTTTCCCTTTAACATTGTTTTGGTCACAAGGTCGCTTTCCTCATCAGTAATAGGAATAAGCTAACTTTCTGCTAAAATGTCACAGCAGGCTTTGATGTAACTCCATGCTTAAAAGGCACATCTTCCCCCCAAAGTAGAGCCATAAAATAGATGATCGCTTAATGAACATATTGAATCAGCTCGTGGGTGTGGGTCTGTTTAAATAAGCTGTGGCTTATGTAAATTTTTGAAGCCATTTACGTAAAAAGACAAATGTTTGTACTTAGGGTAGAGAAAGGGATTTTGTTTGTGAGGGAGTTGCTGGGAAGCTTTGAGAAACAGCTGTAGCCGCTGCTAGTTATACAGCTCCTGGCCTCGCCCTCTGTGCAGGCAGCCCCTGTGATGTTACTGCCTCGGGGAGGCTCCCTGTGGCCCTGTTCTGTAAGTCCCTCTACTGTCACATCCTGTACCTGGCTTTTGCTTTCCATGGTGAGTTAACACTATGCACGTTTGTTTGTTCATTACCTGGCTGTCTCAAAACCGTGAAAGCAAAGCCTGAGCTGCATAGGATTTTCAGTGCCTGTGGCTGCGCCTGGCACATAGCGGGTGCTGGGAAGGGCAGGCAAGCTTTCCTGAGGGCCGGACAGTGAATGCTGAGGCGTGGTGGGGCACGCTGTCTGTGTGAGCCAGGCAGCAGTGCAGCCGTGACATGAGCAGTGGCCGTCACCCTGGTCCAGTAAAACTCCGTTACCTGAGGCAGCGTGGTGGGAGTGGCTGCCAGCTCCTGGGGCGAAAGGTAAGAGAAAGAGTCTGGACTCAGACAGCTCTGACAGCTCAAGCAGATTGCTCTGTCCCCTGCTGCCGCATGCAAACCACGGAGATGGCATTAGTGCCGGCCTCGGGGAGACTGACTTGGAAAGTGCCACAGCTGTGGGTGCCAAGTAGCGACACTGTCAATGGCAGTGATGGTCAGTTTATTATTTGCTGTTGGTTGAGCTAGTACCTCTGTGTGCACGTGTGCATGTGCGGCATATTTTGCATTCCTTTTGGGTTTGCCTTGTTGACACCACCGGCTGTACTCGTTTTGCTCATGAAGTGTCCACATTGAGACTGCTCTTCTTCACTCACTTCTTGAAACCGGTTCGTGTAGGAGCCTTTCTGCTCTAGTCCATGTGTAGGCCATGGAAAGCTGTAAGGGTCCTCGAGGCCATGGCCATGGCATTCGAAAAGCCATTTTTCTGGACTTGGTGCTTCCGGCCTCTGGGGAGGGGGCAGGTGAGGGGGCCCTAGGCCCGGGGCTGCTTGCCTCCCTTTTCAGGTTTCCCTGCTTATTTCACGGTCGTCTTGAGAATGGCCCACACTGGGACAGGTTCAGAATATTATCACGCTAGCTTGTTTGTGTTTTTCGGCTTTATTAGCTCCTGTCAGCTGCTGGGTGAAGGCTAGGACTTTGAGGTAAGCCGGAAGTGGAGGCGGCGGGAGACCTGTGCGGAGTCCTGGCGCTGGGCCGCCTGTGGGGAGTGAGGTCATGGCACGGCGCTGGCCGTGTGCAGGCTGTGCTCTCTGGCGAAGAAACGCCTTCGTCTTGTCGGGGGAAAATGTGTTCTCTGTGATTCTAGGGCATACACACACACATACTTGTGAACTTGCTTTTACATGTGTGGTGGGAGGAAAGAGATCACTAACATCTCAGTGAAATTTTGAGTGGATTTTTTGTGACTTTGCCTTTTCTTTACACGAGCGTGACCTTCCCCACTGGCTAGTGGGTGGCCGGGCTGGATAATAGAATATTTTCTTCTTTGCACACATGAGTGTGAGTGAGGGGCACAAGGGATGGGGAGCCGCACAGAGTCTTCCCTGCCACACAGGGACTTCCCTGCCAGTGGGGACCTGGAGCCATGGTCATGAAAGTATCCCGCCTTCCCGCCTTCCGCCTTCCCGCCTTCCCCGGGGCACTAGGCCATCCGCGGAACGTGGGCTGTCGCAGCTCTTTCCGCAGCTTGTTTGCGCTCCTGAGCTCTGGGCCGGTGGTGAAGCGCCCTGCTGACTCCTGTCCTCTCTCCTCTCCGACAGAGGGGGAAATCTGACGCTCCTGCACTTCCTGTTGGGTTTGAAAACGGCAGCAGACGATGAGCTGGTAGCCGAACTCGTGGTGAACATCCTGAAAGTGTGCCCCGACCTCCTCCACAAGTACTTCAAGGAGGTCACGTTTTCCTTTCTCCCGAGGGTGAAGTCCACCTGGACAAATAATGTCAAACTGTTAAACAAGGTGAACACCGGTGTTGGGTGGGTGGGGGCGGGAGGCGTGAGCTGCAGGGCAGCGGCAGGTGGCGGACTGACCGCTGCACCAGCCACGCAGCCTGCAGCCTTCTCGGATGCCCGACTGTGAGCTGCAGATGGCGTACACGTGTCCTCCGCCTCTGGAGACTGCTTTTCGCGCCTAAACCATCGATGCCGCCAGCAGCCCTGCGCGCCAGTGGAGTAGCTTCGGCAGCCGGCGGGCAGTGCTGCCTGCTGCTGTGTGTCTTCCCTCGCCCCTGCTGGTGCTGAAACACCCGGGAGTGTTGTCTTCTGCCTCAGCCTGGGCTCAGCCTGTCTGTAAAGCAGACTGCCTGCGTGGTCTCTACGTCTCCCTGGCGCACCTGTGTGCAGCCCCTGCGCTGCTTGGCTCTTGGGGCCCAAAGGGTGCACTTGGCTCCTCCTTCTGGGGGAGGCAGCCTCTGGCCTGCAGCCGTGGTGGGAGGGGCTCTGGGCTGCTCTCCCCAGGGGGTGGGGTTGGGGCACAGGCCCGGTGCAGGTCCCCACCTTGATTGCTAGCTGCACATTCCTGGGGAGATCGCTGACGTCATTGAGGTTCCGTTTTGTCATCCATAGCACTTATTTTGACGCAGATCACGCCACCCCAAGGGCTGTCCTGAAGGGTGAATGAGATGGCCTCGGGCGGTGCTGTCAAGGTGGTCCCTGGTGGGTTGTATGTTGTTTCTAGCGGAGCCTGACTTGCCTTCAGTTTTCAGAGGCTGCCAGGCCGCAGGCTGAGTTCTGATTAAAAGGTCGCTGTCCTGGTGACCAGCCAATCTCGTGACCTAACTTGTCTTTTACACATGGGTCTTGGGATTAGTCTTCTGGACCTTTGTCACCATAATGCTTACATTGGAGTGGCTTCACAGCGTGCCTGCTGTTAGCCTTCGAAACGTCACCCCCAGCACCAGCTCATGCTTCTCTCTTCCGCTCTCTGTAGATCTATGAAGCCCAGCCAGACATCTCCCGGGCATTTCAGACCAGAGAGTTCATCCCTCTGCCGCGGCTCCTGGCGATGGTGATGGTGACCACTGTGCCCCTGGTGTGCAACAAGATGATGTTCACCCAGGCACTAAATGTAAGAGTTCCCCTGCTTCTAGGACTCTCTCTCAAGCTGCCGACCATGTTCGGGATTGTTCCTGTGGCGCTGCCCTGGAGGGTGGGGTGCTGTGAGTCAGTGACTCACACAGTCCCACCTGCCACAGCCCCACCCGGTGGTGCGGAGGCCGCCTCTGCGGGAGAAGGCGAACACGGGAAGGGGACAGTGTGGTGCGGCCCATGCGCGTCGCAGTCTCACTGGTGTGGGGTGTCTGGGGGGACTAAAACTGGTGTAGCACAGCCTTTAGTGGCTTAAGTTAAGTGGTGGTAACTTTTGGGAGAGCATTTACTTTGAGGACCAGCTGTTTTCAGGCATTTTTTGGAGGCCGTGTTCACGGGGAAACATAGATCTTAAATTTCACTCATTGTTTAGCATAGCCTGACTCTGAGGAACCCGGCGTCTTTCGCCCCCGCACCCTGGCTTTATGTGGACGGCTCTACGGCTGTGGGCCCGGGTCCTGGCAGCGCCTCCTAAGCCCAGGTGCCTCAAGACCTTGCTAGGGGAGGCCGGGTACTCAGAGGGCACGCAGTGCCTCGGGGTCTCCGGGGGTGGGGGGGCACCTTTCCACTTGGGCTGGGCAACTTGGGCACCAGCAGGACCAGGGGTGTGGCGGCGGGTGGTCCAGGCCTGAGTTGGCTCCACGGTCGTGAGCACTTCCTGTCAGATGGTGAGGATTCCTCAGATTGTGCCCTGGCACTGAGCATCCTTTTGATTCGAGCTCTTTGAGTGGGCAGTGAGGTTTGTACTGTGGGTGGTGGGTGCAGGGCAGAGAGAAGGAGGCCGGTGTGGGCTAGCAGGAAGGGCTTTCATCCTGGCTTCCGAGTCATGGTAAGTGGTACCGGGGCCCAGCTAGCTTGCGATCTGTTTGGTGGGAGACACAAAATGTTTTATCCTAAGGAGCCGCAAGAAAATAGAATTGAAAGGAGCGTGTCAGCTGCGGCTCCTCTGGGGCAAGGAGAGAGCTGCCTGGCCTGCTGCATTGTGCGTCCTTCCAGCTGGAGGTCAGGACACGCGCGCCTCCAGCCGGTGGTCGGGACCGCGCCTCCAGCACCTCCAGCACCTCCAGCACACCGCCAGCTCTCCCTCCAGGGATATTGTTCCAGGAGACATGTCTGTGCCCTTGGGGCGTCTGCGCCTGGGTGGAGAAGAGGTTGGCGGCTCCTCTGCTGAGGCTGCAGTGCTGCATCCCGGGAGCTCAGGGCCACGAGGCGGCTCCGCCCGTCTGCTGTGGGCGGGCTCTCAGAGCCGCCTGGGTCTCGCGGGAGGCGGGGCTGTGGTGCGTGGGGCGCATTTGCCTTTCCTTTTTGGCAGTATTTGAAAACCTTTAACTGCATGTGTTTTAGACTCAAAGAAGAGTGAATGTACTGTCCAAGTAGGAAATGGGGTGTTTGGGGCAGGGTCTGGGTTGTTGGCTGGGGCTTGCTCTGAGCCGTGGGGTGCCCGTGTAGACAAACCCGAGTTAGGGACTAGTGACCTGGGTGGGAGTTGCCATCGTTTAGGGTATTTCCTGTCGGGCACTTAGTGAAGAGGGCGCAGGTGAAGCGACCCCCATGTGAGTGTGTGCGTGGGCTCTTGTGCTTATCACACCAACCATTCATTGGAAAACCCTTTTGTTTCTAGCTGAGTCTCAACAGCCCTGCCAGTGTGGCTGTCTGGCACTCCCTGGATTGACAGGCTGGTTGTGGGGGTCTGGGCTGGGGCCCGTCCTGTGCGTCTGCCTGGCGCCCCCTGCTGCCCGCCCGGGAGTGCACGGACTGGCGGGAGCGGGCGCCCCTCTGCTGGGAGGGGCATGGGTTCCTGAGCGCTGTCAGTGCCTGTGACAAGAGGGGGTCTCGGAGCCTTGCTGTCACTCTGAATCCTTGTAGGGCGCCGGGGGGGGGCGGCCTGAGACGGCTGCACGTGCAGCTCACCATGAGCTGCCTCCCGACATCAGGAGCTTTTCCCTGAAACCCTCGATGGCATAAGCGCATTTATTGGTTTCACCCATCTTTCCCTCCTACCCTGCTGATGCTGTACGATCCTTCTGTCAGCACAAAGGCCAGGATCGTGCCCGCTGGGCAGCACTGCACTGGGCAGTCGGCTCCATGGCTCCGTTACCAGTGTGGGGTCACCGACACCGCACATTGGGGCGGCTGGGTGCAGCTGAGATCTTGCTGCTGTTGGGGCAGGCGACCCAGACAAACGTCTGGCCTGGGCAGTTGTCAGAGAAGCTCACGGGGACAGGCGAGCAGCGTGCCCACCGGCAGTTGCCAGGGTCGGATACTGGGGAGGTGAGGAGCCTGGCGGCTCCTGCGAGCTCTCTGAGTGGCCTGGGCAGGGGCAGCCTGGCAGGGCAGGGGCAGGAGCTGTCCGCCCAGGGCACGGGAAGTTTCCCCCGTGCAGCCTGATGACACCTGTGTGTGCGACTTTCTTCCCAGTTGGACAGCAAATCCGTGAAGCAAACAGCTCTGTCCCTTCTCTGCGGCGTTTTGAAGAGAGCTTTAAAAACCATTGACTACTGCCTGAGCGAAGAGGCCTGGCGAGGCTGGGGCGTGTACACGGCCGCCATGATGGAGGAGTTCGTGCGTCTCTTCAGAGAGGCCCTGAGCAAGGTAGGCACAGGGGCTGCTCGCCCTCCGGGGGGTTTCCAGGCTGTCTTCACTTGAGTCACAGTAGACGCGGCAGGGGACCCTGTGGGGCACAGGGTGGGCGTGAAGGGCAGCGAGGAGGCCTCACCGCTCCTGTCCAGGCGCCTCACTGGGGTGGGCTTGGGGAGCCCCTCTCCCCTCTCCTCCAGTCTGGTGAATGCGGAGGTGGTCTCCCTTGCCTGGCAGGTTCCCCGCCACCGTTGTGACATGTGGCTTTATCATTGCTTGCCTAGATGAGTCCAGAGCTTTGATCCAGCCGCTCTTGCGCACGCCCCAGTCCTCAAGTACCTCCCTAGGCATCTTCAAGAGCCTACAAAAGGCCTGCTCTCACCCCACCACCCTGCCTCTCCTCCCACATTCACACTCACGTTTATATAACTCACATGCGCCCGGTCACGTCCACTCACGGGCTTGCATCTCGCTGCTGCTTTGTGCTTCTCCCTGCTCATTCCTTTGTTCTCTCCATTGCTCAACGTGACTGGCGTCTGCTCTGTGCATTTTGTCTCGTAGATTGTGCCAGATCTCAACACCATCGTGTGGGTCTGGCAGTCACTTGTGAAGCAAGACACGAAGCCGGATGATAAGAAAGGGAAGAAGAAGGGCGAGCGGACTCCTGCTGCCACTCCTGCCACCATGGCTTCCCAGGGTGGTGAGGGCTCCTGTGGCCTCCGCGGGCGGGGTGGAACCGGCCACAGGGATGGCTGCTGGCAGAGGGGCCTGTGGAGGCCTCCCTGGCTGGGGGTGAAGCCCGTGTGCCTTGTTGCTTGGGGACAAGAATTTGAATGGAGTCACAGGTGGAATTTTAGCATCTGTTTAGAGGCGTGCCCGTGCTTGAGGCCACCACTGTTCCTCAAAGGACTTGAATGGTGGCTGCATGTCTCTGGCCTTCCCAGGGCGGGTGGGGGTGCTCTCTCGCTCAGCTTGTCACAGTGGGTACAAGGTCCCCCCATAATAAGATGTGTTAACTCAGTCCTTGTTGGTGGCCAGGCGATGAGCTTTGTGTCCGCCAGGCCGGGCCCTGCTGTGCCTCCATTGCCCAGCTGAGGACACAGCAGCAACGCAGCTTCATTGACCCTGCTGCGCCCGCTGCAGTGGAGCAGACCCTGGCGCTTTGACCCATAGTGGCTCCTTCCGTCGGGTTCCCTGCGGGCCTGTCTGCGGCTCCCGTGTGCAGCTGATGTGCTGCGGGCTCGAGTTGCCAAGCGGCTCACCTGCCACTGTTGCAGACGTCCCTAATTCCTCTTGTCTCATACTGGTTCAGACGACGCAGAGACCATTCTTCTGAAAGCGGCCCTGCTCCAGGTCATATGCCTTTACCAGAAGGTGGTGCCGCACGTGGTCACGCAGTACAACTTCGACTTCAGCAAGCTGCTGAAAGGTGCGTCTGAGCCGGTGCAGGCACGCCCCACGTGTGTGCCGGGGGCGAGGGAAGAGCCGGGGAGCCTGAGCAGGGCTGAGGACCAGGGCTGGCGGGCAGCTTGGCCAGCGTGCTGGCCCTCCAGCCTGGCTAGTTTTATTTGTTGAGATTTAATAGGCGGTCTTTCCTAATGAAGTGTCAGATGACTGCTTAGCAATGAAACAAGGGAGAAGCAAGAATTTGAGCTGCCCTCAGTGACTGGTTGGTGGATGGGATGAGTGAGGCCGACCCTCACGCCTCTGCGCGGGCCTGCAAGAGAGCACAGCCCCTGGATTCGCGCTGCCTCCTGCTCAGGCCCGCTGTAGAGAGGCAGGCACAGGCCGTGCCAGAAAAGCCTATCTAGGGAAACTGACTTTCCAACTGGGCCTGCCAAAATGCCTTGCAGAAGTGCCCCTCTTTCACGTTCTGTGAGATACCAAAGTGGTCATATACCCAGAGGCTGTGATTAGCTTTTTGATTGTTTGAGGGTGAAAAGCTCTTTGCCGTGAGCACATGTAACTTACTGGAATGCAGTCACTTAGAATTTAGTAGCCGTGTCCTTCCCAAGCAAAGGACCTGGAAACCAGGCCAGAGCACAGGAACCAGTTCCCAGCCCAGGGAGGCCGCAGTTCGCCCGGGGGCTGCTGGGGTCTGCGAGCGAGGCCGTCCCAGACGGGGTGACACTGGCGGCCGCACCTGGAGAGCAGCCTGCTGAGGGGGGCCTCCAGCCACGCGCAGAGAGGAAGGCTGTTGGGCAGCTAATGCTGGTCTTTTGATCGAAAGATTTGGCTAGTGTTCAGGAGCAGGGGTGTGTCGGGTGAGCGTGGTGGGTAGCGGGCAGAGGCACCTCGGGGACACAGCAGGGGGTGGAGCTCGCTTCCTTCCTTTATTCCCTCCGACCGACCGGGGCAGCAGCTGGCGGGCAGCCACCTCCTCGCCCCTTCTCATCTGTCTCCCCCTCTCGGCCTGCAGGCATCGCCTCCGAGCAGGGCCTTCGAGAGGGGGTGCCCCCCATCCTGCAGCACCACATTCTGCAGGTGGCCCTGGAACTGCCTGCCAGCAAGCTGCTGTGGCTGAAGGCCCAGGTAGGGGGAGGCTCCTGGTTTCTGTCTCTAGCTGACCTGCTGGGTTTGTGGACCCTCTGGCCTGGGGATTTCTGACTGGAGCAGGACCCTGGCGAGGCCGGGCCTGAAGGGGAATGTCAGCAGTTCTCTGTTTAGAGAGAGTTGTTCAGGGCACAGCCAGGCCATCTGTGAATCGCTTTGCTTTGGCAAATTAAGGTGCTTAATGTCTCCTTGACTGAAAATACATTGCTGGGTTTTAGCACGGTGGGGTAAAGTGTTTTTAATCTTGGCCATTTTATGTTTTCCTTGTCATTTTCAGACCTTTTGGGGTTGGCGGGTGGCCATTCCTTCTCTCTTGTCCTCACCTGGAAGAACCTGGGACAGAGGTGGGAGTAGACAGAAGCCAGACAGGGCTCGAGGCTGGTGGAGAGACCAGCGAGGCTGTGGGTGTCGTTTTCTAGATTTCTGTGTCTTGATGTCTTTTAAGACTTCCGGAATAGCATGACATTGAGCCATAAAGGGGACTCAAGGTGCAACCTATGTGTTTGGTTTAAGTATGGGGTGCTATTACCCCATCTATCCAAAGAGGAAAAACGACCGAGCAGAGTTAGGCATCATCCCTGGTTTTAGCTGTCGAGGTGACCTTGACAGCCTTGGGTCTTAGTTACCCTGCTGTGGAGCACCAGTAGCACAGGGAGCGTGCACGGCTTCAGCAAGGCAGGCTTGGCAGTGGCCTGCGCCCTCTGACCTCTGTCTCCCCAACCCTGTCAGGTAAGCCTCCCTCGCAGCTGAGGGGAGCTCAGGTGCCGCAGTGCTCGCGTCCCTGTTCCTCTGCCCACTGTTACTGCTCCAGCTGCCGTTGGGGGTTTGGGGTGAATTGCCTAACTCCTGAGGTGCCTCGTGTTTGAGGGCTCAGCTGTCTCGCCAATGTGTAGTCAGGACAGGGCGAGGGGCAGGCCTGGCAGTGGCCGGAGCATGCTACACCTTTGTCTACAAGCCACGGCCTCCTGACGTGTATCACATTATATGGTTCAAAATCCAGGAAGGCCCAGATGCAGAGATTATTGGAGGAGAACGATCTGTGTTTTATTTGCTGATGAAAATGTTTGTGACCAGTGGCCACTTGCAACTCAAGTCATCAACCAAACTCCTGATCACAAAGGTGAGCGCCCGTCCGCCAGAGCCTCTGCATAGCGCCCCACCCCACCCCCACCCCACCCCCCGTCCCCCTGACTGGGCGCTCACTCGGTTCTCACCAGATCAGGGCTGTCTCGGGACTGTTGAAAGCTTAAAACGACTTGTGTTTTTAAGCATGGCTGCATTCCCGAGCAGGTGCGTGGTGACCTGGGAAAGGGGTGGGCTTTGAAGTCCTTTCTGGGGTCGGTGTCTGGTTCTGCCCCTTCCTTGGGGGTCCCTGGGCAGCCTTCTTCACCTGTCCCCTTGGGGAGTGGGAGTCATGCAGCTGGAGGAGGAGGGGCATGGTGAGCCATGCAGCCATGCCCAGCGCGTCTGGCTGCCAGCGCTCAGAGTCCAGGGAAGGGCACGAGCTCTCGCGTCTCCTCTGCTGTCTTTTACTGAGTGCTCCTCTTTCCGGGCCTGCAGCATGCCCTGCTGGGGCAGCAGGTCTCGTCCTTCGCATGCGGTACAGCAGACACGTGGGGCGGGGTGCAGGAATCACAGGGTGCCGGTCACCGCACTGCCTCCCCTTCTTACCTGACCTAGGACATGAACACCTAGGTCTTGACCTCGGCGGGTTGCCATTTCCTCCGGGTTCTGCAGGCTGAACCGGCCCCAGCCTGAGGCCGTGATCCCTGACAGCGGTCGGTAGGAGGCCGTCGTGTTTGCCCCGGTGCCCTCTGTGGCCGGACTTGGGTGGTGGCGCTGCTGCACCCTCGTCTTCTAGCAGGCCGGTGTGGGGTGTCATTCATCGCCCACCACTCAGGTCACACCTGATGGCAGTTCTGCTCTCTCGGGAGTGGCGAGTGCGCCTTGCCAAGGCCGTTTGAGATGGTGACACATGAGTGACTTGGACGGTTCCATACAGGCTGAGGTCAGGTAGCGGCCAGGGGTAGAGTTGTGCACCTTTTCCTGCAGCTCTGTGAAAGCCCCTGCAGAAAATCGGGCTCCAGAGCAGCAGCTGACCTGTCCCCTCCACGGTCTGGGAGTCGGGGGTGAGGAGCCAGAGCGGCAGTCAGGCAGGCTGTCCTGGCCTTGGAGCAGCGCTGCCGCTGCCCTCAGTGGTGGGGTGCAGCCTAGGAAACGAGCTGTTAGAGTAGACCTGGGGGTGAACCGTGAACCGCCTCTCCACCCCGGGGTCACTCACGCTGGAGCGCAGTCCCCCAAAGCAGGTCCGTCCTGACTCCTCCATGCCTGCGTCTGGCAGGTCCTGCGGGACACGGGGGTGTTTGAGCACACCTGGAAGGAGCTGGAGCTCTGGCTGGCGCACCTGGACAGCACCGCGGGCGCGGCCCAGGAGGCCGTCATCCAGTTCCTGGAGCACGTAAGTGTGGACCTGCCACGGGGGCGCAGGTGCGGGACGAGCCCGAGGGTGCGGCCTGATGACAGGTGCCTAGCCTCCGCCGATTAGGGCCTGTAGTGTGGGAGCGCGTGGCTGTGTGCTGTTTGATTTTTTTTTTTTCCTGGAATTTGTGTGTGAAAGGGGTAGGGGTTTATTAAAAACAATGTTGCATGCTGAAAAGAGAATTTAAAGTTACACAACAGTAAGTTCCAACTTGGCAGTGATCGTTCACCGGAAGGCTGTCAGGGGCTGGGGCAGTTTTTCTGCTTCACTTGTGACCTGGCTCTTTCCTGCCCAGGTTTTACTGACATTGGTGGCGAATCCCTATTTGTACACAGACAAAGCCTCTGACTTTGTCCAGGAAGCCAGCACGCTGCAGGCCACCTCGACGAAGCAGGACGCCGATGACGCCAGCATCCCCATTTCCCACATTGACGGTAGGTGCAGCTGCCGCCTCTCTGGACGTGGCGGGGCCCGCATGTGGGGGACGTCTCCCTGGTCAGACGGCTGCTCGGGACACGAGAGCTGCGGGCCTTTTTTTCAGCTCGTACAATGGGAAGTAGGTGCAAGCTGGGTCCGTTTCACTTGTGCCGTTTACTTTGTGCTCTGTGCTGATCCAAGTTCTTCACAAATCTCAACCCACGTAACCTCAGAAACAACCCCGAGAGGGTGTTTCCACCCGCATCTCTTCTGTGGTTAAGCACAGAAAGGTTCAGTGACTGCTCAGGTCATACAGCTCAGACCCAGCGTCTGCATTTGAACCCTCCAGTCGTGCGGTAACCCTCACACTCTTCGGCTTCTCAGAATGTCCAGGTTTAACCTGAATGCCCAGGTTAAAGCTTCTGGCCTTCTCCGTGTTACTTGAGGAAATGTCTACCTGTTTTTTATCATCTGAGCTGGATATTGTTCATTTTGCCTGGCGAGGACCTGAAAGTTTTACAGCAGTGTCCCCATCTGTTCAGAATGAAGCTTTGTGTGAGCTTTTTATTCCAAGAGAAGTTGAACTTTGATTTCTCTCCTTGCGACATCCTCTTGCCGACCCCTCCCGTGGGGTGCTCGGCAGGGGGTCTTCTGTGGCCTGTGCGCTAGCCTGACCTCTCTTTGTGGCTCAGATGTTCTCGATATGGTGGATGTCCTGGTGGAGGGCAGCGAAGGCTTGGATGAGGAAGTCGGATTCTCACTGGACGAAGACACGATCCTGCTCACGTTCCCGTTCAGTGCAGTGGTCCCTGCCGCCCTGGAAGCCAGGAATAAGCTGCTCCTTGGGACAGAAAATGAAGCAGGTACCTGAGTGAAGGCAGGAGGTCCTGGCATCAGGCCAGCTGGTCCGGGTGGGAGGTGGGGTTCCAGGAGCTCTGAAAAGTGGAGGCAGCAAGGCGCAGCCCCACCGTGGAGACAGCGACTGGCCGGGCTGAGCGTGCAGGGGCAGGAGCTGCCGGGAGGCAGGTCGTCGGCAGGAAGGGTCAGACGCGATGTGCCTGCCTGCTGCCCGGACAGCTGCAGGGCCACCCGCGGCTTCTCTGGGCCTGTTTCCTGGTGCCTTGGTGCTCAGGTGTGAGCCCGTCATACTTGCTGGCAACTTAGACCCAAGGGAGCGCTCACAGATCGCACGGTGCCACACGTCAGGATCACCCAGACTTCGCCGTAGTAACAGACAAGCCCCCACACATTGCTGGCATCATGGGTAAAGGTCTCCCTTATCCGTGGCATCATCCAGTACAGTGCGGGGGCTATCCTGGGTCGCCCCCATCTTGTCACTGGAGTAGCGAATGTGGGGCCTGGAAGGGACCGAAGCCTGACTCCGCTAGAGCCTGGTGCTGTGTGGAAGTGGAAGGGTGACCCCCACGCAGGGCGTCTCCTGGCCGGCTTGTGCCTTGTTCCAGCTCTCCACTCCCGGGTCTCAGCACTTGAGGTCTGACCGATCAGGGAGCGTGGCACGGCCTGCCTCCCTGCGGGTGGGTGTCCCCAGGGGGAGCTGGCATGACTGTCCCCGGGTCCTGGAGGTGTGTGGAAGTTGGTGTCTCTGAGGGGTCACAGGAGCCAGACCCAGGCAGCTCTCTCAGAGGTCTCTGGTTGCTTTGCAGGAAAAAGCGTCGTGGCCTATCTGACTGCCGTGCTGACAGACCTCCTCCATAGCCAGCGAGACCCCCTGGCCCTGTGTCTTCTGCTTCAGGCTTATGATAAGCTGGAACCCCCACTCCCGGCTTGCTGCCATCAGCTCTCCCGCTTCAACAGCTACTACCGCCTCTGGATCCCAGAGCCAGCCCGGGAGACCTTGGTGAGCACCCTCCGTGGCGGGAGCCTGGGTGGTGAGCCAGCTGTGGGCAGCACCCTGTTGGCTCAGTTTTTAACTCTCTCCTGTCCCCTGACCCCCCGGCCTGTGAGAGAGGAAGCTCAGTGGTCCCCCCAGTTCAGCCGGCGGGAAGGACATGAAGGACTCAGTGTGTGTTTCTGTGTATTTGTTCAGTTTTGGTTGCACTTGGAAACCAGGCAGCTCAGCCCCACCCCCCCCCACCCTCCCCACCCCCCC